ATCGTCGAGAAGGTTGTCGCCGCTCTCCTCCTCGGAGTCCGGGTCCTTTGCGGCTTCGATGGCCATCTCCTTCGTCATCTTAAATGTCGTGATGGCACTGAGTTCGAGGTGGGGAAATTTACGCCGGGTCAACCACCTTCTTAGCTTAAATCCCTTATGGTAGCTTGTTGTTCCGACCTCGACCATCTTCTCGCGGTACTCTGCCGAAGACTTATACTCCTCTACAGCCTTGGCCTTCGCGTCCTCTATAGCTTGGAGTAGATTTTCAGTCTGCTCCTTCACAAGCGCCTCGAGGTTCTTGTTCTCTCTCTTATGGGCCACCTTTGCTTCTTCTCCGCTTCGAACTCCTTCTCGGCCATCAGTAGAGTCAATAGCTCCTTCTTAGCCCGCACGCCGTTCTTCAGCTAGTTGATCTCGTAGCGAGCTAAGTTGAGCTTAGAGTAGGCATTTCGAGAGGACTCCTCGGCTTCGAGAGCTCGCTTCAAGTTCACCTTAGACTGGTAGGCCATGGCGTGGATAGAAGAGTTCACCTGCCAAAAGACGAAAGCGAGTATAAGTATGAAGAAAAATCTAAGTACAAAGCAACCTGAAGGTCAAGTACGTACCACCATACAATGTGTGGCCACTCGGGCCCCGAGCTGAGCAACCGGCAAGTTAGCCCAGCGAGCAACCTCCTCGGCGAATACCGCGTCCTTGCTCTTGAGAAGGCCAAACTTCGGAGTCAAAATGCTCAGGACTGAAGTATCGCTACCTGAAGAAGTGGCGGTCGTTGGTACGCGTCGAGGCTCTGAAAACGTGGTCTCCTTGGGCACGCGGGGTGGAGTGGCCTTGCCTGAGTCCTCTTCAACCAAGTCGATCACGGGAAGTTGTTCGGCAACGGGTGGGTGTTCGGGGGCAAAGGCGGTGACGTCAGAGGTGGTGGTCTCGGTGTGGAGGCAAGCCTTCTTGGAGGCCCTCTTATTTTTCTTCCCCTTTTGCATGCTCCCAAAGAGCTCATCGGCGGGATATTGTCCATGACAACTGCAACAAGTGATGAACTAAGTTAGATACAGCACCAAAGTAAAACAAACAGGAAAATGTACAACAGTTAGCGATCTACTAGGAGGGCTTAGACCGGCTTACATGAGCTTCTCCTCGTTCACGAAGTTTTCGAACTTCAGGCGAGCTTCGCCCAAGATCGGACCTCCTCCCTTGTCTTCAAGTCCAGTCTAACACCGGGGTCCTGGATGGCTGCCCTCTTGTGAGTTGGGAAATGCCACCCCTCGGTGTTATGGACCACGAAGTAGTGTCTCTTCCAGGTCGGGACCTTGTTAGGGAGCTCATGCAACAGCTTGTACTCGGGGTGAGGAGACATATAGTAACTTTGCTTGTGCTCATGTAGAACACTGGACGAGTTCTTTTTGATGGAAAGGATCGAAGAGAAGTTGTCGAGGTCTAGAGGTCGGTTGTAATCGTGGAAAAGGGCAATGGTACTTACGATGTTATGGATGGAGTTCGGATGTAGCTGGTCTAGGGCAATGTCAAAGAACTTAATGACTTCAATTATGAAAGGGTGGAGTGGAAGACGCAGCCCGACAATGAGTTGCTCATCGAAGACCACGATCTCGCCATGACCGTGATCCCAAGGTAGTTGCCTAAGGGAATACTGTTTGGCAGGCAACCTCGCTGTGAGCTGAAGGCCGACAAGTTGGAGGCTTCTCGCTCTCGCCGAGGTGAGTCCGTCTCAGACGAGTTGGAGTCCACATTCTATGCCAAGTGCCCACCTTGGCAAGATGAGGCTCCGCGATCTATGCCGAGGTCCCCACCTCGGCCCCAACGGACTCGCTGCTCCCATCTAGAAGGCTATTTAAGCTAAGGCTAGACATACTATCGGGAAGGACGATGGAATCGAAAGCAAAGGGAGACGAACTCACCAAAAGAAGACCGAAGAAAGCAGGACGACCTCGGACCCAAGAATAGCTGACACCGAGCTACAATACTTGAACGCAACCTTAGGGACTTTGAATTCGCAATTTTGTGGCGAAGAAAATGGGTCCTTCGGCCCCTATTTATAACCAGTATATCCAGGAATCAACGGTCGAGATCTGTACAATCCAATGACTCATATGAAAATTGGTTGCATGCTTCCCGAGGTTGAGATCAATTTAGCATGCGTTTTGACATTCGCGGAGACTATAATCGGCTTGATGTCCGCGCGTACCTGATACATGATCTGGGTCACTTCTTGGTTGAGCCGAACGGTCGAACAGGTCTGACCAACGGTCTGCCCTCCATATCACCTAGACTTCGTGTCAAATCCACCTGGGCTCTCCATGAACTCCTCGCACCGGGTCAGGACCTCTGGCACGAGGAGTGGGGGCAATTGATGAGGGGTAATTTGGCACGACCTAGTAAGTAAAGGTTACGTGGATGCAATATTTCCGTAGGATGACAACTCAGCAAGAGGAGCCTAGTCAGTAGTTTTTAGAGCTCAGGTTTTCTGTCACCTCGGTACAAAGCCACCTCGACACAAAGCCACTTCGGCATAAAGTCACCTTGGCATAAAGCCTGTTCGGAGCCCAGGAATTAAAGTGACATGTAGTCGACTCCAGAAGCTTCCCAACGGACTCTGAACCTCACGGGATCACGCCCCGTAACGACAGGCCTTATCCTCTCCCTGCCCAGATCGGACGATAACGATAGGTTTCATTGACTGATACGTTACTCCCCGACTAAAGCGGGAACGAATCTCATCTACTCAGGCTAAAGATCCCGGAACCGTTTCGTGAGACCCACGACAACTCAGTTATATGAGGGCAACAACCCCTCCGGGGGCCAGGTACGCGCGATTACCTACATTCAAGCTCTCTAGCACTCAAACTTTAGCTCACAACCACAACGATAATACTGACTTAAGCATCGGAGTGACCTTGTTGGGTCATCCACCCCGGTCTCTTTGATCCCTGTTTTGTAGTTTGATCTAGCTCGCCACATGAACACACCTAAGCAACTTTCCAGCCAGGAGCTTCCAGATCACACATTATATATATAGTTTTTGCTTTCATCTGTTTTTGAAGTCACCACATCCCAAAAAAAAAAGTTTTTGAACTATTTGCTTTGAAAGGCAAAATAAGGTTGGTTTGTTTTAAAAAACAATACATATATGTTTTTTGAACCATTAAAATAATGTTTTTTTAAACCAAAACAAATTTTATAGTGAAGAAATTATAGGATGTATGGAGCATGATATTGAATAATTAGATGACGTCATGGTTTTGAAACCAAAAAATTCAAGAATGCGTTTTTTATTTGTGTTAGTTTTGAAAACTAAAAACACCCAAGAACATGTTTTTTTGTTTTGAGAAACAATTTGTTTCTACACAGATTATTTTGATTTGTATTTTTGAACTGACAGGAGAGAAAAACAATTCATGTTGTAGAATGAGTCAAGATCTCCTACACTTCGAATGGTGTGAATGGTGTGTGCCAAGGTGCACACCCATTCATTTGATAACACGTCAGCTGCCATACGAGGGTTTGGATAACTTGTGCAATAAGTTCACTAAACGCCTTCCGTTAATGTCCTAATTTTTATATTTTAAATAAAAAACTAAAAAATAAATAAAGATAGTATGGATTGTTCAGTTGATAGAATAAAAAACAATTGTGTGGAAAGCATACCAAAGAGGCAAAGAGAATTTAAGATTATAAGAATTTTGAAACAGAAAATTTGATTGATAAATAGTTTGGCATGAAAAAGTGTAAAATCTTCTTCTTCTCACTTTTTTTTTTTTTTTTTAAATTTTATGTTTACAATTTCTAAGAACAAAAAATGGTGTGCGGTAGTTTGGAATGAACGGAGGATTGGTTTGGGATGAAAAAAAATTGGTATGTTTATACTTTCTCAAACGATTATTATACGCGATAGATATTAACGCGCGCGTGCAAAAAATAAATAAAGATAGAGAGAGAGAGAAACAGCATCAACCCTAACAATGAGTTTGTAATTATTCATTAATGGAAGTGGGTTTCAACAGGAGAAAAGTTAAGTCTATCTGCAGATGACTCCCATTTTTTATTGAAAATTTGAGTAGAAGAAAAACCGATATTTCTTTGCAAAACTTTCTTTCTAAACTTGCAATCATTAATGGCTTCCACTCCTAATTAAAGCTTGAGAGACGTTTGGAATTTTTGCTGCTCTCTTTGCCGGTTGGAAATGAAACCATTGGCTACCGTTTGTGATTTCCCCTCTCAGCAAAGCTTGCCACCGTTTCCGATAACTGGTTTCAGCAGCACCGTGAGAGACGTTTGGAATTTTTGCTGCTCTCTTCGCCGGTTGGAAACGAAACCATTGGCTACCGTTTTCGATTTCCCCTCTCTCGACAAAGCTTACTACCATTTTCGATGACTGGTTTCAGCCGGAAGTTGCAGCAACACCGTTTCTGCTTCATCTCAATCCACTTCTTTACCTTTGCCGATGACTGCCTCTCAACTGGTTTGGCTGGGCCGATTCCACCAGCGACACAGATGGCATCGCTTACAAGGGGTTTGGGCGCATGATGCCATCGATGATTGCCCGCCAACTGGTTTCGGCCAGGCCGGTTCCACCGACGACACATGTGCCATTGCTTGCAGGGGGTTTGGGCACATGATGTGTCTGATGCAACTGCGGAAGATGAAAAATTGCATCATGCAAGCAACAGAAAACTTTTGCACATGTGAACCGAGGTGCTATTGTAAACTGTGTGATGTCCGACACACACCATTCAGACTACATGAGATCCGGACTCTTGTAAAACACCCCCTAAATATCACATATCATATCCAACATCTTAGCAAATCGAATTCGAATTAATATTTGTAAGATCCATCGGATCATTGAATCGGTTATAGAATCTACATTATCGAAACAGATTCGGATATATTCGAATCGGGTTTAATCCGATCCATTTGCATTCCTGTATCTCTCCATATCTTTGCACGTGCCACTCAACCAGTTGTAGATAATACGAGTCGCTTCGTTTGCAGCCCTTTCCTCTTCACAAACCTTGGCTTGAATATGGCGCAACGCCGATAAAGCGCGAAGCTATAATCCCTCGCTTCCCCGCTCCCCAATTCATCCTCAAATTCTAATAATTCTTTCTGCTGAAAGCTTGCTGGTGGCTACCAAATCCTTAGAAGATGTCGGGCGGATTCTTCCGGGTAATATCTCTTTTGTATTTCAATTAAGAAAATGAGATTGTATGCATTTGTAGGTTTAGGATCCGAACTCATCGATCTTATGCGTCTCTGTAAGATTCTGCATTCGAAGTATTTGATTCCTGTTGAACTTGTATCGACATTGATTTGCTAGGGCACTTCTGCCGATCAAGACACTCGGTTCTCGAATAAACAAGCGAAACTATTGAAAACCCAGAAGTTCTCGCCTGAATTGGATCATCTGGTTCGTAGTTGTCATTTGTTTTTTACTTTGATTTTTCAGTTTCAAGAAAACTATCAGAAGGAAGAATATTCAGTTTCGGTAATTATTTATAGTACCTGAAAGCTAGGGTTTAGTAGGATCCAACAAGTTTTAATTGGGGTTAGTTCATTAGTACTAAAGTAACGATTGATAAGTATAACAACTAATTGGTAACTTAATTATCATCAAAATTATGCATATAGGTGGACATGACGAAGGTGAAGATGGATGTTATTAGGCCTTGGATTGCTAATAGGGTGACCGAGCTTCTTGGATTCGAGGATGAAGTTCTAATCAACTTCATATATGGACTTCTTGATGGAAAGGTAAGCAGTAAGCTTATTTCCTTCACTCCGAACCTCTTTGGATGTTGTTTTGAAGATTAATGGTTTTTGTTGATCAGTAATGAGCGTCGATTATCCTTTCCTTTTTTCTTGTAGGACGTGAATGGGAAAGAGGTTCAGATCCAGCTCACTGGGTTCATGGAGAAAAATACTGGAAAGTTCATGAAGGAGCTTTGGACTCTTCTGCTCAGCGCCCAGAAAAATGCGAGTGGTGTCCCTCAACAGTTCTTGGATGCCAAGGAAGAGGAAACTAGGAAGAAAAAGGTTTATATTCATATGAATTGTTGCTTTACTTCTCATTGTTGAAGCTCTGGTGTTGGTTTTCTCCTAATTCTGTTTATGGTCATCATAGGCTGAGGCAGATCGGATTACACATGAAATCCAGAAAAAGAAAGAAAAAGAGTTAAGAGAGCTGGAGCGAGAGAAGATGAAGAAGATGGTAACTTATTCATTCTATGCCAGAGATAGCTTTTCTCGAACTGGGGTTTCTGGTTTTAACTTCCGTTTATATCTTTTCTTGCACTCAGCTTGCTTCTGCAATTATTTGGGTTCATATCATTCTTTACCTCAAACTACTGTAGGACGGCGAGATTGATGTCTTGAGGACCACTAATTCTGCATCTGACCCAATCTCAAGGCGTTCACAGTCAAGAGCATCCAGTGTTCATCCTGATGAAGAAAAAGAAGCTGATGGGATAAATGGGTCTAGGGGAAATAACAGGTTAGAACTGATACCATCCACTTCTTTTTCATTTGCAGGATTTGCTTTCTGTCATATTGTCTCTTTCTTTGGCTGTTTTGGCATTTTCGGTTTGTTGCCTAAAAAGTCTTTAAGGAGGCACATGAAGCTTATGCACAAAGGGCATGCCTCAATGTATAAGAGTCACATTTCACATCTTGAGGTGCCTTTTGTGAGGGATTGCACCTCATGGATTATTGAAATAGGCTTTCTTATAATAAGTCCGTAAAGAAGTCAACACCAGTTGTCCCTAGTGTTTATTTATTTTTGTTGGAACAAACTTTTCAAATGTTGATATCCTCTCAGAATAGCAAGCAGTTGTAACTAGGCTTGAATACAATGCACTATGTCCAGTTGGCCTGTTTTTTATCAGCTATGTCCAGTTGGACTGTCGGATTGTGTTCTTGCTATTGAATTTAAGTCTGTTCTGTAGCCAGTCACATATTACCATGGTGAAAAAACACTGTATTTTTTAATATGTATAATTGTCCTTGTGACTGGTGCTGTTAAAGTGCATTGTGATTGCCTATAAAAAATTGTAGTGTTAAAGTGTTCAATCCAGTGCTACCATCATTTATTTATGATTTTATGAATTTCGCATTCCTAGTTTCCCTTGAAATGAAATGCTGACTTAATTATGTTTATGAACACTTAACATCTTGCCTTTGATGTTATTCATGAGGTGCTTGTAGACAAAACTGCCACAGCTGTATAAATGAATGGGCGACATGTAAGCATAACCTTGCCAAAACTAGAGTTGTATAAAATTGCTTTGTTTTATAAGCTAGGTTCCAAAACTAGAGTTGCTTCTGTTTTGCTTGGATCCATTTGGCTGTCGTTGATGGTAACTCATCCAAAGGCCAGTGTAGGAAAATTGGGAAAATGGATGGCATGACGCCATAATGGTGTTAGTTCACCTCGTAACCTTGCCAGTCTAGCAAGACTGGTCTCAGTAACAATGTACCTTGTTCTGGGATTTCTGTGCAACTTAATGTTTACATAAGAACTAAAATTGTTCTTGTCCAAATATTCACTGTTCAGTTAAATTAATAATACTACAATGAACTAGACAAATAAAAAAAGGGCCTCCACTTTGTATATCTTGGAATGATACTTCTATTTACCTGATCAATTTAATCTTGGATTTGTTGTTATATACAATAATTAGGATCAACTATGTTCTTAAGCAGTATATTGCCTACTTGTTTATTCCTGTTTGTTGCTAGTTGCACTTTCTTTCTCAAGTTATCTATGTTTTCTTCCTCCTCTTTATTACATGCCTCTACTAATGCTAAGTGGATAACTTTTCTAATTATTTTTCTTACTCTTCATTCTTATCTATATCTTGATACATTGGCATGACAGATTGACATCCTATGTCCTGGTTTGATGGGTTGTATAGGGTTGGTTATCTAATATGTGAGATGTTACCATTTTTTAGTCTAATTATGATTTTTTTTTAATGTCTAGCAAGCAATGTATAGTTCCCGGTTTTGTTTTAGTCTCTATCACTTTATGCAAATTGTTTTAGTCTAGCAAGCAATGTATAGTTCCCAGTTTTGGTCTCTATCACTCCAACTTTTTTAATCTCCTTCTTTGCATTGTGAAGTAAGTGGTGATTGGTCTCTTGGGTGGTTACAACTTACAAGTTCAGATGGCTGTAGTTATCCACTTATCCTACTAGAATATATAGAGCTGTTTCTTTTAGCATGTATTTGAAGCTCTGAACTTATAAATGACATTCTTTTCTTCTTTACAGGGTCTCTAGATCACCGCACTTAGTTGATCACTCCCCTTCATCTCATCGGTATTTATTCTTCTCTTGCATTTAATATAATTCTCTTTTCCCCACTTGGGTTACATTTGGAAAACATGTTTATAATATATGTATACATACATGTGTGTGTACATACTCTCATTGGTTTCTTTTCCAGAAGCACACATTCCAGGTCTATCAGTAGGTCATTTTCCAATTCAAGGAGCTACTCAGGGTATGTTTCTTATATTATAGCAATAAGATTTCTTGGATTTGTTAGCGTTGAATAACCTCTTGTCTATCTTTTTTTGGGAATTTATAAGAAATCTAATTTTCCTGTCCCAAGGCATGACATGATGTATTGGGGAGCCTTAACACCTACCCCTCTTTTTTTTTCTAACTTTCATTGTTTTAACTGACCCATATGTACCTATCTTAGTGATGGACACAAATCAAGAAGCATATCTGGATCACCTCAACCACGAAGACGCTCTAATTCTCCTGAAAGGGAGTATCGATCGCCACGAAGACGATCTATTTCTCCACATCGCAGGCATTCACCAAGAAGATCTCGGTCTCCTTTAAGGCGGAGGTCACCTCATTCACGACACAAATCACCTTCTCTTGTGCGGCGTAGGCTCCCTTCTCCTTTGCGACGCAGATCTCCATCTATTATTCGGCGTAGGTCACCATCTCCCGTTCGGCGTAGGTCACCATCTCCCGTTCGACGTAGGTCACCATCTCCTATTCGACGTAGATCACCATCTCTTGTGAGGCGTCGATCCCCACCTCCTTTGCGTCGAAGGTCTCCATCACCTCCAAGGCATAGGTCTCCTGTGAGACGGAGGCCCCCCATTCGTAGGCGGTCACGAACACCTTCACGGCATAGGTCTCCATCTCCTCTTGGGCAGTCACTATCTCCACCTCGGCGTCGGTCTCTATCACCAGGGAGGCGGCGGTCACCTCTTCCTAGGTCCCCAAGATATAGAAGAAGATCGCCTAGACAAAGAAACAGGTATTATAACATTTGATATGCTTTAATATTATCTTTTATTATGAGGTTATATCTTTTGATGGAATCATGTATTTACAGGAGTGGTAGTCCTTATAGAAGTCACAGTCCTGCATACCGGAGCCGAAGGAGCTTGAGTAGGGATCGTGATCTCCGTAGTAATGGAGTAGACAACAGAAGATACCGTTATGATGCCTCTGAAAGGTATATATTGTTACAGTAACTCAAATAGGTTATCCTTTTCAACCTAGATCCTTTGGTAACCTTATAGTTGTACCATGTTTTACCATCTGATGCAGCTCTTCATATTGATCCTGTAGGAAAATGTCTCCTGTGCGTAAGACCCCTGAGAGAGAGGAGGTTGATCGGTCTATTCATGCACGCAAGGAGCCAGTCTCTGTTTCTCGCCGACCACCAATTTCTTTGAGGTCACCACAACGGGATCCAGATGATCAAAGAAAGGCCCGCCAAAAGATGCCCACTATTTCACCATCACCAGAAATGTCTCGAAGTCCATCAGTAAATTCACCACGTGAACGGAGAATGAGTCCTAGTGAAGATAGGTCTGTATCATGGTATACCTGTTTGAAAATGTCATAATCTTTATGTTGCACATTTCTAGAATTGGTGTTCTCACATTTTTCTGTACTTTTAAATGTACGTACAGTCTGTCTGAGAGCYCTGTAAGGCAAACAAGGGAACGATTATACCATCGTGACAGTCCATCTCCTGCTAGGCAACCAAGAAAACATGTTTCACGTCATGACAACTCAGTAACAAGTGAGGAAGAGGAAACTAGTCATGCCAGGTCAAATTGATATTCAACTGTTCTTTCAGTTTCCAATTGAAATTTTGGGTTCCATTTGTTTATATTATTTTTTCATTGATGCTGGACTTATTTATTTTAGGGATGGTGGTGATAATAGAACTGATTCTTCACGGAAAAGAGCTAAGCATTCACCGCCAATTGATAGTCGGAAAAGATCTCCTTCAAGGAACTTACGGCAGGAAAGGTGCTCTCTTGAAAAATTAGATCACCGTGGGTCTGGTGAAGATTGGAGTCATCTGAATGACACATTATTAAGGAAGAAAGACGGGGAAAAAAAGAGGTATGGAGTTATCTTGGTTGTTTGTTTTATTCTTGTTCATCTGGAGATATCTGTAGAAAAACCTACATTGCAAGTCCTGGAGGTATAATTATACCAAGCTCTTCTGCAGTGAGAAAGCTTCAGCAAGGACTGATCCTCCTCGAAGTCCTACTAAACAAAAATCACCAATGCTGGAAGAAATTGAATACGGGCCAGGGAGACCAGAGGGGGAAAGCTATTCATTGGATCGTGTTAGGGATGAAAAAAGGGATTCTCCAATTGAAGAATTACAAAGATCACACCCTAGAGATGGCCAAAAATCTGATGAAAAGAAGCATTCTCGTTCAAGCCACTCTGAAGGCACAGATCGGGTTCATAAAATGGAAGCTGTTAACAAATCAATGAAAAAGGTTGATAGGAAAAACCGGGCCATTGCTACCGGTTCTGAATCTGAGGAAAATGATAAGTACAGGTTGGAATACATGGAGAAGAGAAAACATAAGAGAATGGATAGACATGAAATGAATTCGGAAGATGATGAGTGTCATGATTCTGAAATTGACGAAAGGAAGGAAGCAAAAAGAAGAAGGAAAGAAGAAAAGAGATTACGTAAAGAAGAGAAACGCCGACGACGTGAAGAACGGCACCGTAGAAAGGAAGAAAAGCGTGCAGCCAAGCTGAAAGCCAAGTCAATGGATACTGTGACTCCGCCTTCAGATTTCGAGAAAAACCGAAATGATGGCAATGATTCAGATGACGAGGCTGACTTGAGGAGGGAATCTCATCCATGTGGCGCTGATGACACAGAGTCTGAGCAGAAAAAGCTTGAAATTGAGCTGCGAAAGAAGGCTCTTGAATCACTAAGAGCAAAGAAGGGCATCAATAACTAAATATGTTTTTGTTGTTTTGGATACATTGAACTATTTCTTCTTTTCTGTTGAAGAGTAACTTTTAGCGTTTTAGCAATCTTATGTTTTGATAAAGTGGGAATGTTATTGTTATATAGCATAGTTGTTTTAATGTAGTCTGTGTTTACTGCTGGCAGCTGAACTGGATAAATGAGGATTTCCTGAGCTATTCTCTTGATGTGCAACTTTGTGCAGACCTTGCTGCTAGATTTTCTGGTAATATTTGCTTTCCCTTTGTTGGGAATTTAGTTTATTGTTTTGTAGGAGTTCTTAACTGGGTGGATATGAGACCATCTCATCATTTGATTGATGTTTATGAAGTGGATTTAAAAGACTTTCTGTAACACTAAATTATATACTCTGATGTGGGTTTTTGTACTGTTCCTGGTAAAATAACAATTACGCTTAACAAGGTCAATCGAATAAATATTATTGCTTAATAAGTTGTAAAATAAAGCCTAAAGGTCTTGACACTTTTGTAAGATGAAGTTCGTACTAAATCGGCTTTGTGGTTGATTGATAGATGAGAATACTGTCAACTAGATGACTTGGTTGAGCAGGACCTTGTGCAGAACCACTTATTGAACATCAACTCAGGTGAAATGTCATACATGCTTTACAGGATTTTTAGATGGAAAGACTCCAGTCTCTCTTGACTAAAACCTCTTTGTATATAAATACTTGAGATCTTTTATATTGTATTTTGGTTTGACCTTTGAATACTTGGCAGTTTGACAGTTGTTCCGGGGACTTTGTTTTTAATATTCACCAAGGTGATATAGGCTCCTGAACCATCCTGTCTTGATGTTGATGTCAGCTGTTAAGTTTCTCTGGACGGCATCTCCATGTATGTGTAAGCAATAACAAATTATGCAAATGCTTATGCACTTTCACTCTTTACTTGCATTTTGGAGTTTGATGATATTGTTTTATGAATTGGTTGTTTTGGTTAGTAATATATGGGATTCTGATAAGCATTTTCTCCTCAGAATCCAAGCTGGGGAAGCTATATGATGTAATATTTGTTGCATCATTGAAATTTCAGTCGGGGAATGTGTTTTTTGGTGATTCATGTTTTTTTCTTTCCATTGTAATTTTTTCCTCTTCAAATATTTTATATCATAATTTATATTCTATTAGAAGCATGACATGGTACCTGGGGCAATAAATTATTAGAGTGGTTGCTTGGCCGAAGGGTTGTCTTCCCCCCAACAGGTTTGCTTTGTGATGATGGCATGTGGTAGGATAAAGTTTTGAACCCAAACATGGCCATATTTTTGGCACCTTGGGGAAACATTTAGGGATGTCTTACATGCCTCATCAGCATTGGAATTTGAACGGTTACATGTCTAACATGTATGAGTAAACTTAAAGGGAGTACAGTTTCATTGTTTCTTGTTTCTTTAAATAACATGTAATAGTTTTGAAAAAAATAGTTTGAATGTCTAGAAAAGGGACCGTTCTTAAGTGTCAATGGAATAACTTACCGGAATTTTCTTTCTTTCCAAGTCGAGGATATCTTGGATGTGGATCTCTTTTTTATTTTGGCAAAAAGGTAACCCTCTATCCCATTTATCTTTACTTTAGTGAGTATTTTTTTGGGTAGATTGATGTTTGAGGCACAAAATCTGGGTCTGGTTCTTGATTTTAGGGTGGATAGGAAGGCCATGATGGTAAACTTAAAGATGATTTACAGGCTTATGGGTAGGGCCTTTGTGTTGAAATTCAATTTGAACTGGAGTAGGATTGCTGGCCTAAATGTTGATACAGAGAGTTGGAGTTTGGTGTTAGTGCTTCATTTATGTTTCAGCGGCGGAGGCTTGGCTTCTTAGGTATCTTGGTCTTCCTTTAGGTTCTGATCCCAAGTCTGTGGAGTTCTGGTAACCTGTTGAAAATATAGGGAAGTATTGGTGGTCTGGAAAGGAAAGTTATCCCCAGGCAGTGAATTACTTAAATTCATGTTGACTGATTTCCTATATGTACTGCATCACTTTGTTCAGAGCTCATGTAGTGGTGGAACAGTTTTGCATTTAGAGAGGTTTCCTTTAGGACTTGGGGTGTTTCAAGGGAAGATGTTGGCGGGTCTGGAAATGAAGTTATCCCCAGGCAGATAATTAGTTAAGTCAAATTCATGTTGACTAATTTCTGTACTGCGTCCATCTTTGTTCAGAGCTCATGTGGTGGTGGAACAGTTTTGCATTTAGGGAGGTTTCTTTTAGGACTACTTTGGCTGGGATGCTGGGGTATCGTCGAGGGCTACTTTGGCTTCTCCTTGGAAATCTATTTGTGGAGTGCTTCCTCAGTTCCTAAGCCAAATCAGGTATGATGTTTGCTTTCGATATAAGGTTCTTTTTTGGGAGGACCTTTGAATTGGTAATTCAACCCTTAAAGATCTGTTCCCCTCTTTGTTTTCTCTTTCTTTGTTTAAAAAGTAACTTGTCTCTCACTTTGTTTCCCTTTCTGAGTTGACTGGGTTAAGCTGGAACTTAGGGTTAAGTAGAAATTTAAGGGACCTTGAATCAGAAAGGGCGACCTTGTTGTTACAAATTCTTGATTTTGTTGCCCTGGATTTCTCTAAATCAGATGGCCGGATTTGGATTCCACACCCCAAAGGTCGTTTTTCTTGTGCCTCCTTTTTCTCTTTCTTGTGTTCAGACCCAAACTCTCTTCCTTGCACTGCTGATGAAATTTGGTTTAAACCTATTCCTCCCAAGGTTGGGGCTTTGTGCTGGGAAGTTTCCATAAGAAAATAAACATTTTGGATGTTTTGCAAAAAAGAAGACCCTTTATGTGCCTGTCCCCTAACTTGTGTACCTTGTGTAAAGCAAGTGGAGAAAACTGCTACCATCTTCTGATATCCTTTCCTTTTGTTGCTAGTCTCAGGGAAAAGATTTTTGAGCTTCTTGGTCACAGGTGGAGCTTGCCTACTCAGATTAGAAGTCTCTTTGAACCAACGACCTTCAGTTGGCCAAAGAGGGGGTAAAATTCTGTGGAGATGTATCAGGGCTGCATTGATTTGGACGGTGTGGGAGGAAAGGAGTGGCAGAGTGTTCAATGATAAAGAAAGAAAGAAGCAGTTCTGGATTGCATGATTGCATCTTATATAGATCTTTAATGTGGACCAAGTCTCTAAACTTATTTTCTTCTTCAAGGAGTAAACCTGTTGTGGGCTGGAAACCACCGGTTGAAGGATTTATCAAACTGAACTTTGATGGCAGCAGCCTAGGGAACCCAGGCCCGGCTGGTATAGAGGGAGTTTTTAGAAACTATGAAGGTCATGTTATTACTGTGTTCTCAGCTCCAGTTGGAGTAGGGGACTCCGTTTTTGCAGAGTTCCAAGCTGTCCTGCAAGGAGTAAAGCTTGCTAGAGATTTAAATTATTATAGATTGTTAATTGAAGGTGACTCTAAACTGGTAATAGGATGGTTGAAGGAACCTGAAACTGTAAATTGGAAATACAAAAAAATACATGAAAAAATTTAAGTGGCTGGTCAGAGATGACAATTTCAGTCCAATGGGAAAGGAGGTCAGCAAATGGGATGGCTGATTTCTTTGCAAAACAGGGGTGCATAAGTCTGAATTATTCTGGGCTCAGTTGTAATCTGGCTATATGGCTGGGGCTGCATCTCGCACTTCCTCTGGTTGTACTCTGTAATCTTGTGATACTTAACTATGTTCTAATAAAGTTTATATCATTTATAAAAAAAAGGTTTCCTTTACGACTAGTATCAATGGATCATCTTCACATTTGGCATCATTTTTAAAGCTAATGGTAGTTGATGATTGACCATGCTGAATTAGTTGGGTTTTATTTGGGGAATTGGTTATGGAGGTTAGTTGGAGAGCATTATAGTTTGGGGTTTCAAACAAGTATGGGATGCATCCTAGCATTTCGGACTGTGATAACCTACCCTTTCTAGCTTTTGGAAGTTTGGTTGTGGTGTCTGCCTTGTCCTTTCCCCCATTTATCATGTCTTGTGTTGGTAAATGGAGTATCTTTGAGGGGTGAAGTCTTGTCTTGTGGTCTGAGAGATTTTCTTTTTTGCCACAACAAAATGGAATCCTGATTGTGTGCGATTTCTGTGAATTGACTTATCACGGGTTTTTGGTTTCATGAATTTTGGGGTTCTTTTTGCTAATTGAATGTCTGAATGAGGTTTCCTTGGATACAAAATATACTCCTAAATGGATAGAGTGTCTGTGTCAGACACTCTGGACCAAGATTCTGTAGGATCCTGAGGGACGCGTAACATCTCTCTCTCTCTCTCTCTCTCTCTCTCTCTCTCTCTTATATGACAGGAAGAATAGCAAATGTAGATGATAAATGCCGTCTTTCCCATTGAACACATCAAAAGTTAAAAAGATAAATACATTTTTTTTTCTATAGGTATAGGATGTCAAAATTAGTTTCGTCAGACTTGGACCAGACAGGACTGTAGGACCATCAGAACCAGGTACAGGCGGGCAAAACAGTTTATGGATGTATGGTTCTTGAAAATGTTGACGTAGTCAAATTTACTCCATATGTCTTAATAGTTAATACCCTCTAAAATTTATTGTTTTAATCTTATTTACTCTATATGTCTTAATAGTTAATATTTCTTTTTATTTTAACATTGTTTTATTTTCTTATTTTTTACTTTTTATTTGATTTAGTCAAACAATTGAACCTGACCAATTAATTGTTCGACCTGTGACCCAGTTACTGATAGAATCGAATGTCCAGTCCGAGTCTGACAACATTGGTTAGAGTTTAAAATATGTGAAGTATTTTAATAGCACACTGTATTTAGAAATTTAGATGTGTTCCTGGTCTTTTTCCGTCATCCTGAATCAGACTCCTGGTCGCATAGGATTCTGATTCTCATGTCCATGTTCACGGGCCACCACGGGAAACCATGGATCCTTGTCTCTAGTGTCTCTTTCTTCAACATCCTTCTCTTGCACCAACTTCTCTATGATTCTGATAAAATCTTCTTATCTTAAGGGGCTTCCATGGGAGGTGGCTCATAAAAAGTTACCGACGAGGCTATGTCATATATTAGAGGAGGCATACATTGTAAACAATGATACCCCTTCTCGTGTCATGTGCATGGCAAATGGGGAATTGGCAAACCATTTATTCACCGTTGCTCTACTTCAGCTGTTTGTCATTTCCTCTGTTTTTTTGTCGGCATAATTAGGGGTGCAACTAGGGTCGGGTTTGGGTGGAGCATTTTGTTTAGCCTGAGCTAAAATCCGAACCTCATGTAATTGAAATCCTTCAGTTCGGGAAAATTTTGATTTACATCCTTAATGTGGTGCATACATTGACCGATTGTTGTCTTATGGAAGTGGCAAGTAGTTAATAAACGGATAAACTTTATTCAGATTTGTTATTACATTTTTGGGGTGTCGGGAGGAACCGCACAAATTTCAAGTCATGCTTTTACTGCATTCAGATCAGTCTGATCAGAACATGACTCTTGGTAACTCTAATTGTCTTTAACCTTGAGGTGTTCAAACTTCAAAAGGAATTTCTTATTGACTTGGTTATCATAGGTGTGGTTGGTATTTACAAGTTTTCTCTATCTCATCATCTGCAAGTATCAATGTAGATTGGGGTTTGGATATTTGTATTCGTAGAAAGAACAAAATTAAAATGTGTTTTATGGGTGTTGAATCTGCAATTTTAGTTGAAAAGATCCAATCCAGGCATGCTAGTTTTGTGCGTATCTTAAATTCTTAAACGTAGAAAACTGCATGTTCTTGAACGGTATCGTGGGAGATCTGAATTCGATTTGATTACAAAGCACAAGTTACGTCTCAAATCTGGTATGATTATGAATGATTTTGTATTTCTTTTCCATTGGATGTGTTCAAACTCTAATCTATTGGAATCCTTAATTGACTTGTTCGGGAGAACGGAGAAATGGTCTTGTTCTTGTGGGGTTGTGTAGCATTCATGTTTTGCATGTTCAGGTCGTGGCCATTCGAAGGGCTCTCATGCTTTTGTATTCTCTCTTTTCCTTTTGTAACAACCTTCTTAGTTATCAATATAAAATTTCTATATGGATGAATGGCGTGTGGAGAAAAAGATGGAAGGAAAGTGAACATGTTTTTTTATGGGAGAAACTTGAACAAGTTTACTCATGTGGAATGTGTTGCTTTGATGACAACTTGTGGCTTTATTTGGAATTGGGGATATCAAGATAGATTTGATGGTCGAGGGTCTAACAAAAGATATTGATATTGTCCATGATAGATAAGGGAGGAAGTTTCTGTCAATCCATCTTCAGTTGGGGCCCACAAAACAGGCGGGGTCCATTTATGGGCTTGATGAGCTGGGACTGGATGTGACCGAGGCATGTTAGGTCATAGGTGGAGCTTCAAAACAGGGATTTCTTACCGTCTGAATATACAAAGTTTGCAACTATAGATGCCTAAAGAGATAAATATATCTAGTATCTTTCCAGAAGAGGTGGTTCAACGGAAAAGTGAGAGGAAGCACTGATCTACGCTCCCCCCCCCCCAAAAAAAAAGAAAAAAAAAAGAAAAAAATAAAATAAAAAGAGGAATCAATGAAAAATAAGGTCAGAGTTAGAACGCTCCATCTATCCATATCCAAGTATAATAGATGTTCCCAACTCTCAATCTCACATCTCTTATTCTCAACTCTCAAACTCTGAACATGGATAAGATCTCTGCAAAGATCGGAGTCCTCTGACCATTAGGACAAGGACGGGTACACAGGAATCATCAATGTTTTCATAACCGGATTGGAAGGGATAGTTGGACCGGAAAAACTGGGTATCGGTCACTTGATTGGTTCCATTTTACCCGAAAGCAGTTATTTGGCAAAAAATCATTGATTTGGTCAATGAACCGCTGATCCAGGTGATTGAATGGGAGTAGTTTTTGGCTGTTTTTTGGATATTTTAAAATTTTTATTATTTTATTTTATTTTTTGTTAGAGGGGGCTGTCTGTTTTGTTCGGATTGAATGGTTGAACTGTTTGACCCGAAAACTGGACCCAGAACAGTTCCCTGCTTGTTCCGGTTTTTAAAACCTTGGGAATCATACCTTCGTGATGTTTAGGGGCTCCCCCAATTACTGAACATTGCAGAGCCACCCAAAACAAGTAAAAGAAAGGTAAGTTGCTGAAACCTCTCCTGAAGTGTGGTAACCTCTTTGAATTTTTGACATAGTTGCAATTAGACCCCCTATGTTAGAACCCTCTAAAAAAATGCATGAAAATGTCTAAAATACCTAAGGAGTTATTTCTGACCAAAATGTTTATTTATTTTTTTAATTTTTTCTTCATATGAATTGTTACTGAAAAGTCAAAGCCTTTTCAATCTCTTTCCTGAAATTGATTTATTTTTCAAATTTGTCCTTTATATCAATCCTTCAATGGTAAAACTACAACTTTAAATTCTCTTTTTTTTATTGTTCATAAATTTTGTATTGTTTTTTCACAGAAGCCATCATCCAATGTTTTCAAAGCCGGATTGGACCAGAAAAACTAGGAACTGGTCACCTGATTGGTTCCGTTTCACCCTAGAACTGCTTTTTGGCCAAAAATCGTTGATTTGGTCGGTGAACCGCTGACCTGGGCAGTTGAACCATTCGAACTGTCGACCCAAACAACGTTTTTCAAATTTTTTGTCAAATGGGCCATCCGTTTGGTTTGAATGGCCAGATCATTTGACCTGGGAATTGGACCCCTGGATGGTTTGTTGTCCGGTTCAATTTTAAAAAGCTTGCCAGCATCAAATAGTAATTGCATGGGTATTTTAATGCCTCTTTTCAGAGTATTTTATCAGAGGAGATTTATTTGCAAATGTGTTAGTTTAGAGGAGGTGATTGCAATTATCTAATTTTAGGGGAGGTTTTAGCAATGATCTAAAACTTCAAGGGTGTACAATTATTTTTTATTTTAGTTTTAATTTTTATTATAAAAATTAAGATTTAAGACTAAAGAGGCAATTTTTTTTAGAAAAAACGGTATTGGGCATTTTTTTTTTGTGAATTTCAATTTTAGGGATATGATAAAATCGACCAGGGCCTATCACGTTGAACCACTCCGGTCTGATTTTTTAAACAGTGGTGCATAGCTTTTCCTGTTACCAAGGTTGTGTCCTCTTTTGATGTGATTTACCTTACTGAAGTTAGATTATTTGGAAACTGAGCATTTCCTTTGGGTGCAAATAGATCTGGCAAAAAGTTGACCCAACCTGCTAACCCAACCCGGAAAATAGGGTTAGGGTCTTATATTTAACTACCCGAATGTGAAAATGAACCAACCCAACCCAGTTTTTTTTGGGTTGGGTTGGGTTGGGTCATGGGTCAACACGTTGACCCAATTGTCAAGTCTAATTGGGATTATTTATGCATTGGTAGAAGTTTCCGCTCTTTAATTTTTTCTATTTAGTCTTTACTTTTTATTGTTTACTTTTTAAATTGTTAAATGTTTAAGTTTCTTATTTTTTATTTGGAATTCTAAGGTTAATTCTTTTAATTTTGACATTTTTATATATTTTTTCTTTATTTTTTAAATTTCAATTATTTTTTTGGGACGACCTGAATTGACCCATAGGTCAACCCTAACCCGAACATTTAAGATTAGAGTTTAGTATTTGACAACCCAACCCGAAATCAACCCGAAGTACCTTAACCCAACCCCACCCAACCCAACCCAATTGCCAGGTGTAGGTGCAAATGAAAGAGTTGCATAGCTTGAGTAATTGTTTGAACTTTTCATTGGGTTGTCTGTTGCCAGACAATTCGGTTATTATTATTATTATTATTATTATTATTATTATTATTATTATTACCAACACCCTACCAAGAATCAAGATAAAACGCATGACGTCTGGTATCCAAGAATTTGGATGGATTCGAATAGAATTAGTTCGTACAAATGGATACATTTGGCAGCCCCACATGGAAACGTCTGGTGTCCAATTTTTTTCATGAAGATAAACGCATGTGACCTGGCAAAGCCCCATAGGCTAGCTCCTTAACCTCACCCATCCAGATAAACAACCCTCTGTGCACACACAGCCTTTCTCCTGTTCAAACAAAAATTTGGGATTAAACCCAGACCAGATTCTATCAAACTCTCTCACACGCTCTCTCTGATGAGTGATGGCTCCTACGCTCACCTCTAACTCATTTCTTCTCACCACGACACCTAGTTCAAGAGTCGCTGTGAAGAACCCAAGGTTAACCATATTCGCTGCTAAAAGAGCTGGTGCATTTCCCTCGTTCGGTCCCGGAAGGCAAGAAGATAGCGAGAACGAGAGTGGGTCTCCGGCAGGCGAACGCCAGACAGAAGGGCCGAACAAAGCCAATTCTTTCAAGTTCGACCTGGGAAAGATTCCAGATGTAAGGTCTCTGATTCCGGTTGTCAGTCAGCCATCTTCAGCTCTGTCGCTGGGGAACCCGAGACGCAAGGATCCTGGGACGGTTTTTGTCACGGGTGCAACTGGGCAAACGGGCATCCGCATTGCGCAGACGCTCCTGCGCGAAGGCTTCTCCGTTAGGGCTGGTGTGCCGGATCTTGGTGCCGCCCAAGACCTTGCTCGTATCGCTGCCAACTACAAGGTTAGCCCCATCCGCTTCTAATCTAATTTGGCCGTCTCTGATTTGTTGAATTTCTCTCCTCAATTGAATCGACGGTGATGCGGCCGTGATGATCTTGATGGTTGATGGCCCCTTTTACATACATCCAGATCAAGTAGAGATGTGATAATCTTTCACTCTCAAAATCTTGTTCTTTCGGGTGGGGTGGGACCCATTTCCTGGATTAGATATCGTTGGTTAAGACTTAAAGATAAATAGCTAGCTAGCCTCGAATCGATTGGATAATTACTATTACCTTATCTAATCTAATATGATCCTTTTATTATTATTATTAATTATTTATTTTCTGAAAGAATATTTAAACTATATATATCTGATCTACTGAAATGTCCTACTCCGTGGGGATCAATGGTCCATGGAGACCGCAGATTATCTCTACTGAAGAATCAAAACGCCTAAATGCGGTAGAATCAACTTTCCAAGACCCAGAGTCCATCGCTAAAGCGATCGGCAATGCTAGCAAAGTCGTCGTCACGATCGGTCCCGCCGAGAACGGGCCCAGAAACGAGGTCACCACATCCGATGCAGTGAAAGTCATCCAAGCTGCTCAGTTAGCGAGTGTTGGACACGTGGCAATAATATACGATGGGAAATCGATTTCGCCCCCGTCCATGTACAACGTCCTGGATGGCATCTCGTCGTTTTTCAACAACCTCTTCTCCCGATCGCAACCGTTAACGGTGACGGAGTTCCTGCAGAAGGTGGTGGAGACGGACGTCAGTTACACCCTGATAAAGACGAGCTTGACGGAGGATTTCTCGCCGGAGAGCTCCTACAATGTCGTCGTATCGGCCGAAGGGAGTGCCGGCCCAAACGACTACAAAGTAATGCACTAATGTATGCGTTTTATTCCATTTTATAATCATTTTTTTTTTGTCTTAATTAATACAGTAGATTGCTTTTAATTTGAATATCTCTGTTAATAACTCTCTTTCTTCTGTGGTGAAGGTATCGAAGTCGCAGATAGCATCGGTTGTGGCAGATGTATTCTCCAATACGGCAGTGACAGAAAATAAGGTTGGTGTTGTGTTAGAGCATACTATTCAAATTTTCAAAGTCGGTCCGTGAATGGAAAAATTCCTTGTTTATTGATTTTAGCTGGTGATTAACTAAACACTGTGATCATTCTGTTGTTCAGGTTGTCGAAGTGTCAACGGATCCGTCGTCTCCTTCGAAGCCCATAGACGAACTGTTCAGGTAAATAAATGAAACTTATTATTAGAGTAAATGGAGCGCCTTCCGAGTTCCAATCTTTTCTGAGCTGTAGCCTGTATATTTGTTTGGGGTTGTCTGTTGTTTAGCGTCATTCCTGAAGATGGGAGGAGGAAAGCCTACACAGAAGCACTGGCAAAGGCCAAGGCAGAAGAGGAAGCGATAATAGCGAGTGAGAGAGCACGAGAAGCGGCGGAAGCAGCTAAGAAGCTGGAAGAAGAGGTGAAAAAGTTGTCAGAGCAAGAAGCTCGGGCCGCCAGTCTAGCGGAAGAAGCGCGCAAGAAGGCAGAGGCCGCGGGAACATCAACGGAGAGCCTGATCAATAGAGCAAAAAGCATCGGTTCAGGGTTCTCTTGGGAGAAGTTGAATACCCAAATGGCAACGGCCGTTCAAAAGCTGCCCGATGAGGAGGAGAGACCGAAAGTGCAGATTGCTACTATCAGGGGTGAGGCCAAGGCTCGGAAGTTGCCGGCTCAGAAGGCGGTTGTCAAACAACCCACCCCGAAACTTGCTACTTTGAAGCCGAGGGAGGAGGCCGAGCGCACTCCAAAACCGAAACCCAAACCCAAAGCAGCGGAGGTGAAACCAGAGGTCAGGAACGTATTTGGGGGACTGTTTAAACAGGAGACTATCTACGTAGACGATGACTGAGAAAGAGAAAGAGAGGGAGAGGTTGAGGGCAAGATTGTAGTTAAGTCGTATTTGTTAAGACTGAGGCTTTTTCATTTTTATGGAAATTTAGACATATGTCATTTTATGAGAAGTTGTTAAAGCATACAACCACAACCCACTGTCATGGTACAGCCCCCACCATTCAAACACATGGTTATTCATAGAAAATGCAAAAATGATTATCCAAAACCACTTCTACTTATATTTTATCAATCTTAGTTGATCATTAACCCTCTATATATCATATAACAAAATAAAAATATCCGTATTCTAATAATTATTAAAAAACTAATTTTTGAAATAAACGTTTCTTAAAATTTTAATAATTATTTAAAATATTAATAAATATAAATTTAACATTATTGATTCCCTGTCGAAACTAGTTTATATATAAAGAGTCTCAGCGAAGACGATAAGCTTTTGGTACCCCAATTTCCCTCAATTGTATCACGTGATGAATATGTAATTTAAATTTTTGAAAATGTCAAAATTACCTTTTAAAAAGGGTAAAATACAAAAACCTCCCTGAAGTTTCTGATAATCATAAAAACCTTTCCTATAGTTTTATTTTAACAAATACCTTTCCTAAACTTTTGATAAACTCAACAAAAACCTCATTTTTGTTATTTTCCCAGACAGAAAACATTAGACTGATACACCAGTTTTTTCTAAATATCCATTCTACCATTTTATAAATTATTTTACATACAAAATTATTGAAATAACTTTGTTTTAATTTGACAAAAACCTCCTTTAACGGTCATCTTTTAACGTTTTTGTCGAATTAAAATAGGGTCATCAATCTACATTTTCCATTGGGAAGGTAATGGAAGGAAGGTTTTTGTCGAAAATGAAACTATAAAAGAGGTTTTTATGATTATCAGAAACTTTTGGGGAGGTTTTTGTATTTTACCTTCTAAAATAGGGAGAATGATGAGGGGGATGAATCCTGAGAGTTGATGCCAAATTCACGGATAGGATATCCCTCCACGTATGTTCACTTCTTAGCTGAATGCTATGGAGTCGCCACCCATCAAGAGTTATTAATGGGGAGTGACGGGTCTCCCAGATTTAAATTTTACGAAATCACTTAGAATTAAGAATGACTACCTGTACCAATCAGCCAGGACAAGGCCGTTCCGGGTAAGTTGAGAAAGAGAGAGGGAAGGGGTTAGGCATCCCTCTCTCTAGTCAATGCGAATACCATAATCTCTTTTTTGCTTGAGATGGGTTTAGGAATCAGGTTCTCTAGCGACTCGAAGGAGCTTGGTGTTTCTTTCTTCTCCACCAATCCCCTTTTGGATGTAGGGGCCTGAGAAAAAGGATGAGGTATTCCTCACCCCTTTTCTATTAGAACCCCACCTTCGGACTCAATAAACTGGTCTGAAGAGTGAAGAAACACACCAGCCTCTCGGTCGCAGGAGAACACTCCGATTGCAGAACCGAACCAACAAGAAACAATCACCGTAGCAAGCAAGTCGATAATAAAGAAGCAGTGAAAATAAAAACAGATAGAAAGATAAACACTATGCGAACTGTTTAAACACCTCAGGCAAAAAAATAAAGACTAAACTACATTCAAACTGCTAAAACCCCTCAAGCAAGAGGACGAGGTAATGAGTTTTACCTCTTGTGGCTTTAACGTTGATGATACTGCAGGATTCGTGCGAAGGGCTTCAGGATAAAATTGGGTTTTGGTGGCGCCGAAAACCCTACCTCGAGATGGAAACGGGTGTATCAGAGATGGTTGACACTGATTCAGAAGAAGAAGCAATAATCGGCAGTGACAATAGAGGTTTCTCCCTTTTCTTTTCTGTCCACTCTTTCTCAGCTATTTCGCTTTCTCACTCTTTCTTCTATGTTGCCCTCAGACAAGCTCCTCTCTCACAATCTTCTCTCTTTTCTCAAAATCTTCGCCCAACCCTCTCTATTTTCTTCTCTCCCTCCCATCTCTCTTTCTTTCTCACAGATCCTGTTGATTTTCTATTCTCAGAACTCTCTTTCTCAACCCCCCATTCGGCAGCAAAAATAGCAAGAGAACGAGACCCCCCTTTCCCAACGTTTCCTTCGACTTCCCCATTGGGAATAGTGCCTCCCTATTTATAATTGGGAGGAAGGGGGTTTCAACAAAACTGAGGAAAAAAGGGGGTTTATGGTAGGTAAGCCGGGGTTTTGGGGGATAATTTGACAATTTGGTAATTTTGAAGGAATTTTGGTGATTTGGGGTTTGAAGGGGCAGGTTGAGAGGTATTTGGGTAATTTGAGGAATGAAGGCCATTTTGGTAATTTTAGGTCTAAAGGGTATTTTGGTAATTTTGGGAAGAGCATTTTTGGGAATTTGGACCAGGGGTAATTTGGGAATTGGTCAAAAGGGTAATTCGGATAATTTTGGTCAAGGGTATTTTGGTAATTTTGGAAGGAGGGGTATTTTTGAGAATTAGGTCTAGGGTAATTTGGGAATTGGTCAAAGGGGTAATTCGGGTAATTTTGGTCAATGATATTTTGGGTAATATGGTTAGGGATAATTTGGGAATTGGTCAAAAGGGTAATTCGGGTAATTTTGGTAGTTTTTGGATGGAGGGATATTTTGGTAATTTTAGGGGAGATGGTATTTTGGGAATTGGTCAAAGAGGTTTTTGTATGTTCTGGGTTGATTGGTGGAGTCAAATTGGCTTAGTCGGGCCCGGATTGGGCAAATCTAGAAAAGTTTGATACGGCTAATATGGAGCTTCGAAACAAAATTTTTGTGTGATCGAAGGGCAAACAAAGGTATTCTGGGTTGAGATTTCACAAGTGGGTATTTGGGGGTGTTTGGGAACTGATGGTTGTATCTGATCTGATGGTTGAGGTGTAAGTGGTGGTGGGGTCAATCAGAGCGATCGGATAGGTATCGGGCAAGTTCAACGGTGGATTTGAGGGTTATGGGGATGAAATTTGAGATTTTAGGGTTTTGGGTGTTTTGGAAGTATTGGAATGGTCTGATCGGGTGTTTGGGGTAAATTGGAGGTTCAAGTGGTGGACTGAGCAAAAATCGAGTGTTGATAATTGGGTTGCAGAGTACTTAACCCTTTAAAATAAGACACTATTCATCATCTTCTTCCTTGAGAATCAAAGCAATGGTGAACACCTCAAACCCACCACCCAATTCAAAGAAATTTGGGCATTTGGGTAACTGATAAAAAATTAGATGACACCTGAAGGATATACAATCACTTAGTAGCGGTTAAAGATTTTGGACTAAATTGGAACGTTTTAGAAATTCAGGTATTGGATTGGCAAGTTTTGAAATTTGGATATCCAAAGTGAAACTACGCCCAAAGTCCAAGGTAGGGGTGATCATGGGCCAAGCTCGGGCCATGCTTTGCACTTATGATCATGGTTCAAAGTATTGATACGGAACGCCCCGTATCAGACGTATCGTATCGTATCTTTTGAAAACGATACGCTCCGAAACGCCTGTTTTCAGGTGTTTCGGAACCCCAACTTTTTTAATAAAAAAGCCTATTTTTAACTTCCCAAAACACTAAAATTTGAAAAAAAAACTAAAGAAAAAGAGTTTCAAGCGTTTCTAAGTACTGATACGATACTGCCGATACGCGTATCGTATCGATACTTTGAACCTTGCTTATGATAAAGGCTATAACTTAAGCCTAGGCCTAAAACATAAGCCCTAGCCCAGGTCTATATGGACCCGAGCCGAGCCTGATTCTGGGCTAATATCTTTCATATATAAAACAATACATATCATTTTATATTAAATGACATAACATGCATGTAAACTTATTTTATACATTATATAATACAAATTATGTTATAATATTTATATATAATATATAATATAATGTAAAATAACATGTATACATATATAATTATACACAATGTGTAAGTTTAAATATATACGGACCGAGCTAGGCCCAGATCGAACTTGAAGTATTAAGCCCAAGCTCGATCCTAAAATTTGTGAACCTGATGTGGATCTAAACTGGGCCGGGCTGGGCTGAAATGATCACCCCTAGTCCAGGGGTACTAATTTGCAATTTACCCTTATATTTTTGATTTTTTTTTTCAGGCCCGTGGGCTAGTATGCATACCAAGTAATTAGAGACACCATCAAATAAATCAAACGGGATTTCCTACCCACTCTCTACCTGCCGTGAATTGCAGCCACACGTTTCTAGCGATTCGTAAGAATCCCCGAACCAGTTTTATTTAGTTTTATTTTGTAAATAAGCAAATGAACAACCAGCACTGGGATTTAACATATTAATTCCCCAAGAACTTCCTCTAGACTAAAAACTGAAAACCAAATCTCATACAACAGTAGTAGGATCAAGCCAATTGGCATCTATTAAATCATCTTCTCTGTCCATAATGATTAATGAGCTTGGTCTCACGCCTCACCTACCATCGTGTGATGACTGATGAGGGTTACTGACCATTCCATTGTTCAATATTATTGAATATATAATATGGCAAACACTAGGGCTCTTAGTTGGCCATTTTGCCCTTTCAAAAAGTATATGCTGCCTAATTTTCATCACCGCTCAATCCCATGGTCAAGCTCAACAACCTCATACACCTTACCGCCCATGTCTATCCTTGCTACTTATTTGGTGACTACGGTTAGCTCCTGGGCCCAAGATCACATGAGCACCAAGAGAAAGTACGAACTTAGTTTTTAGGATACTTGCATCTGTATAAAATTAATCAAAAATAACAAAATTAATCATGAGAGTTCAGTTGTAAACAGTCAAATACACGGTCAGATAGGATAGGTCCAGGATACCCAAATTTTCCCATAGAATGCCAAAGAACTCTCTCAAAATTGGTACCTGTGCGCCCACAGGACCACTTCATAGTTCATAATTTGTAAATTTAGATCTTTGGAACAACAAAACCATATCTACTGTTAATGTCTAGGGTGAGTCATAAATAATAAATTGGGTCACTTTGCTATTTGTATTATGTTCTGATTACAAATAGGGCTGCAATAAATGATAAATCCCCCCCCCCCCCATGTTTTCATGAGTTTTCATGAGTTTTCATCCACCAAAGGCAGAATCAAGATCAAAAAGAAAATGCTCTGCAGTT